GGACCGAGAGTCACCGTGGTAGGAGATGAGCTCCTTGTTTTGATGGCACAGAATAAACAGGTCGTCCTCCAGCGTGATGAAGTTCAGGTACTGATCGTACACCTGCGAATCAATCAATCAGTCAATCAATCAATCAACAACACACCCGCGCGGGTCACCAAAGAGTCCGGCAGGCATCGAGGTAGACCGCCGATGCCTTCGCACGAGCGAGTCGTCGATTTGAAGGGGGTATGGCATCGGTACGTGGAAGCGTAACCGTGGCAACCTTGGTGATGTGGCTGACGGCGTTAGCGGCCAACGCGGCGCTGGCGATGTCCTCCAGTTTGCTTCGACTGATGGCCGAGATGAAGTTCAGGTAGTAAGATTCGTACAGTTGGTTCCTCAGGTCCTAAACACACAAACGTGCGTCACAAATCTGACGGCATCAACTTGTACGAAAATTGGGTGACGGCCAAGTTTTGGATACAACGCCACGTGAGTCGGGAGGGGAAAAAAAAAAAAGGAGCGCTTCCAAGCCGTCAAAGGAGATGCGTGCGTGCGTGCGTGCGTACGTGCGAGCACCTGACACATCCGGTCGATGTTCTCCTCCGAGGGCATGACAAAGTAGATGGCCGGCACGTCGGGAATGGGATCTCGATCAGAGTGGAGCAACCTGAACGCACGGGCGCAACCACATTTCATCTACGCGCGGTAAGGTGAGGTGAGGTGAGGCGAGCCGCCGTGATGTGCGTGCGTGCGCGCGTGTGCGACTGACAGGTGCAGCGTGATGCCCATGTCTCGGAGCTCTTTGACGGACAGCAGAGGCGAGATGATGTCCTGACCGAAGCGGTCGTAGATCAACACCTATGAAACAAACAAACACACACACACACACGTTGCTCAGGGTACTTCATCGGCGTCGCGTTGGTCACGACGGCGTCCCAGTTTACCTTCCATACTGGCTCGGATGTGGCGTTCTTCACGGGAGGAGTGTTGAAGTTCAACATGCGCCTCAGAGCCACTGGAGGACAACGGCGGCAAAACAAAAACGTGACGACAGCATCTTCACATCACTTCATGCGTGCGGGGAGCGACGGCCTCCGGACGGCGTGCCAACTGTTTGTTCAATAAAACGAGAGCGAATCTGTCGATTTCAGAGGCAGATTCCCTTTTTTTTTTTAATGGGGACTTAAAACAAAGACGGGACTGTAGTTTGAACGCAGCGAGGAATGCCGAGGGTGCGTTCGGAAATTCACTCAGACGCCCTGACACCGTTTTCACGGTTGCCTCACGTTACTTTGTCACGCGTTACCATTACGACCGACTGCTCGATCAGCTTTCTGCCCCGCTGTAGTTTCGTTGCCGTCTCGGCGTTTTCAAATCTTCGGAGACGAGACGTCATCGGGAAACGAGAAGAGCATCGGCTAAACGAGGCTCGGTCCGCATCAAGCGAGGCCGAAGGCCCGTTCAAATTTGGCGTCCGTCCTCGCGGACGGCATAAATGTCAAAAGTGGGACGGCGGCTGCGGATGAAAAATGACGAGCGATTTGAAAATTCGGCAATGAAGCGCACGCACCCGTCTGCTTGTCGCGAACCGACGCCGCCATCTTGGATGTTGTGGCCTTTCGATGACGTGTCAACACAAAGACGCAAAATAAAAACAGAGTGGTCGCTCTGACGCCGTTTGTCGAAACCATCGCGAGAGACACGAACAGGAGGTATCACTCCGGTGACTGTTGAGTGAACGACATTTGACGCGTGACGACGTCCAAAAATAAAGGGGTCAATTTGGCTGGATTATTCCAAAGGACATGACGTGATTATCAGCGCTGTGAAAAACAATCATACGAATCACAAAAACATTTTTTTTTTAAATCTGAAAGAATTCCCTCTTGGAGGAATCTCAAACTTTGTCGGCCTTCGTAGGGCAAAAATGATCCGAATACAAACGCCAATCAAAGAGACACCTGGGTGGGCTGAACATGAACACTTTTAGAATAGGTCCGTATGTCCCAATAATGTTAGCACTAAAATTCAACCCCGAGAAGAATTTGCTGTCATTTAAAGGAAGAGTGTGTCAAAATTTGTTGATGATATATATTTTTTGTCATGTAATTAGAGCCTCTTATTTGGAGGTGAATTAATGGCCATGATATTACATAGAGCGCGGCTTCCTACAGAGGCTGCCATGTTTCGCCGCCATCTTTCTGCTACCTGTTACGTCATGCCGTGCGCTTCCTCCGTCACTTGAGAAGTCGTTTGGGATGACATTTCGCTTACAACTCTGCTGAAGAAGTCGCTCGTAAGGCTTTTGCGAAATCCGCTCTCCGAGGTACCGCACTGCGCGTGCTTGGAGGTGAAGGCCTGCATTCTATCAGTTCACCAGTAGATGGCACTCGATTCTCCATTTTGCTCGTTATGAATGAATGAAAGTCTTCCTCAAAAACAAATGGATAATATTGAAAATGCAAGTTAAAAAAAACTCAATTGAGCCTTTCAACACAACTAGCATTCAAGGAAGTAAAGATTTATTTGAAAAGAACTTCAAGCACACAGCTCCAAAGTGGAAACGGCGTCAAACACGCGAACACAACGAGGACGCCAACAAGACATCAAGAGAAACGAAGAGAGAATTACAAATTGTACCCTGATAGATGACGTAGAAAAAAAATAGCTTATCCTGAGAAAAATGTTACAGTAACAGAGGAAAAGATGAGAAGAATAGTCAAAAAAAGTTCGATTTACAAAAACAAAGATGTAGCTAGCTCATCACACTGAAAAGTGATCATCTTCATCGAATGAAGTTGTATTTTTCCAAAATGAAGTTGGAGATTTATGATGACGTCAGCATTTGAACAAGTGAAGAATGTCATTGATTCTCTTCCTGCTCCATCTTAAGAACGTTGACTTTACTTTTTGTTGTACATGTTAAATTGCTCCATGTACAGCACTTTGGATGCAGCGATGGCTGTTTGAAAGTGCTCTATAAATATAGTTGAGTTGAGTTGAGTTTAACATAAAATTCACAATAAGAACCCCCCCCCCCCCCGAAAAACTACAGCTATCGTCTTACTTTTGGCCTAATTTGGGAGCTTCAGTAAGACGCAAGTAGTGTTGTGGGCCCCCATTTATTCATGCTTCGGTATTCACCGGCTTATTGGCATATTTTTTGGGGGAGTGGGGGCTTTTTTGTTCTCTTCACCTCCATGAGCGTCTTTTTTTTTTTTTTGGGTGGTGAATTTTTGCATGAAGATCGATGAAGAGCGCATTTCAATTGCCACCAATTTGTTTCATGTGAACAAAAGTCGTCCTTTTTGTACAAATCGCACGCGGGATCGCTTCAAAGTGAGTAAACAAATAAAATGGCTGCATCGGATGAAACTGACCAAAGGACTACTTTGAGCTCCTCAATTTACGCCAACTTCCACCGGCGCCGAGACGGCGGCGAGCCAATTCTGCCGCCGCCGCGGCCTGAGAGCGAATCGTAAAACCCGGTGAGATTCGCGCTCAAGGGAGTCCTTCGCTTTGGTCTCGCCGTCCGCGAGTCACGGTGGGGTCGCGCCGTCCGCCGGGAGCTCCTCGGGAGAGGCGCGCGACGGCTTTTTGCGACCGACGGGCGAGGGCGGCGCCGGGAGGCGACGTTTGGAGGCGGCGGTCCTCCTCGGGGCCGCCTGAGGAGACGCAACCAGGGAGGCTGTTTGGACACATACGCGGCTTCAGCAATACGGCGGGGTGAAAGGAGCGCCGCCGGCGCGAACCGACGGGCTTGGATGTCAACGTGAAAGGGGGTCATGCCGGCGTATAGAAAGGCGGCGCGCGGGGAGGGGAGCATGCCGGCGCAAAAGGGATGGATGGATGGATGGATGTGACGTGTCGGCTGTTTTGTCACCGTTTCCGTCGGTGGACTTGGCACATTCGGGGCAGGCCCAGTCGGCGGCGTTCAGCGCGAGCCCCGAGCACTTCCTGTGCGTCCCCCTGGACCCGCAGAGCAGGCACCGGAGCACGGCAAACCACCTGGGCGTCACCGCGGCAACGGGAGGAGATCACGTCGGTGGCCTTGGAGGCCCGCGACGACCGGGAACGGGCCCGCGCGCCGGCGCTCAACTCACCCCCTTTTGGCGGCGTGCGCGCGTCCGTTGGCGCAGACGCAGGCGTGGGCGTCGCAGTGCGCGTAGACCTCCAGCAGGTCGGCGTAGGCGTCGGCCTCCAACTCCCACGAAGCGTCTCTGCGCGACAATGAGAGCGGCGGCCGCCGCCTTAGTGCCTCTCGTTTGGGTTGTCTTGGGGTCTTTGGTCTCATGTCGTCTTTTTTTGAGCTGTTTCATGCTGCGTTGTTGTTGTTGTTGGAGGCCGACGATTGTTTTTACGGGAATCCCACAGGATGGGAGTCAAATTGACTTTGAACCGCGGTACAGGATAAAAAGTTTGCCTGAGCGCGCAGTACCGGGTCGGGACCGTTTTTTTTTTTTTTTTTTTTACTCATGTTCGGGACTAGGACGGGAGTGAAAATCCACTCCTCTGTCAGCCTCTAGCTGTCGCGTCGCGTCATCTTGCCTGCTGTCGCGCGTTTCCTTTTGTTTGTGTGGCGTTGTGTACCTCTCGGGGATGCAGATCCCCATGCGCAGCATCTCCTGCTGATACTGGTCCTTGTTGTTACACAACGTGCATCTGAAGAAGAAGAGGCCGGCACTGTGTGCTTGGCGCTGACGCACACACGCGCACACACGCACACACACACACACACACACACACACACACACACGCGCAGAGAGCGTGAGACGATTGCAACGGAGTCTCGGGATGCGCATCCGCGGCGTTACCTGCACGCAATCCCTGTGGAACCAGCTGCCGTGGCAGGACGGACACTTGAGGACGCCGTAGGACAGGTCGCCGTCGATGGCGTCCAAGCACACGGAGCACGACTGGGGCAGGCTCAGGTTGGAGCCGACGGCCGCAGACTGAAAGGGCCTGTGGTCGGGACAGTAAGACCTGCGCGCGCGCACAGCAAATGTGACGAGCGCCTTCGGCTTGCCGGCGCGCCACGACCACGGCGGCGGCGCCAAACTCACGGGAAGTTTTGGGTGAACTGCGAAACGAAGCCGCTCCTGCGTCCGCACGGGAAGTGAACCATCTTGCGGCAACTTTTCACGTAGCAGCCCACGCAGGCGCCCTTCTTCTTACACGCGCAGCACGTCTGGAGGACGCAGCAGCAACCGGCGGCGGTGAGTCGGCGTGAAAGGCGCCGGCGCCGCCAAAGCAAACCCACCAGTCGCGCCGAGCGGCGAATCTCCTGCTTGATGTCGTCCACCAGGAAGCCGAACACGCCTTCGCTGTCTTTGCCTCGCTGGTACACGCCGCACGACGTCAGCTGCAAGGAGAGCGGCGCCATCAAGTCAAAAAGCCTCAGCGGACGCCCGGCGAGGACGGCTTTGTCCATCGACGGACGGACGCGTCGGCCTGTCAAAAGTCAAGCGAGAAGGCAAACTTGAAGCTGACCAAGCAGAAGTAGTGCACGCAGAGGTTGTCGTCCCGCAGAGTGATTTTGTCCCCAAACAAGGCCGGGTCGTCCTCACAGCTTCGGCACAGAACGCAACCTGGGGGGGACATGGAATCGAAAGGAAAAGAGAGAACAAGCCAAGTCAAAAATGAATCAATAATCCAATCCAAAATCGAATTTACAGAGTAAAAAAATGAACGCAAAAGAGGGAACAAACTCTCGTGAAATATGTTCAATACAAAAATCGGACAGTCAAAAAGGAAATATCAATGAAAAAGTAAGACAGACAACAATAGGATGCTCAACACACTACAAAATGAAGAGCAACATGACATAAAAAGTCAAAAAGAGTCCATCCAAAAGTTCCGAGCGCGGCCTTTTTCAAGCGATTTCTGTTGTTCACTTTGTCCGCCACTTGTCAAACTGAGCAAAGGCTCTCGTGAATGTGCAACATTGTTTCCCTTTGTTATTGTTTTTTTTTTTTTTTTTTTTGCCTCTGAAACTCGACTCAGATGTTGTTCTTGCCACTGTGGTCGTTGGCGTTGCGTTCTTCCTTCTCGCCATACTCACATTGGCCCACCATTTGACTGCCGGTGACCACTTCTTGCGAGCGCCTGGTTTTCTTCTTCATGCTGCTCCACTCTGGGGTCAGAGGTCACACATTGGTTGGAAAAAAACACAAGGCTGATGCTGGAGACCACAAACAACAAAAATGCATTCAGATATACGCGGGGAAAGGATGCCGCAAAAGAGACGACTGCTTCAAATAAAGTGGAAAGCACCAACACAAGTAAATAAACACTTGCAGCTAAACGAACATGGAAGAATATTCATTTGCAAAAAAAAAAAACAAAAAAAAAAACACGAAATGCACAACTGGAGACTACAACGCGACTTGGGAGCAAAAACATGCGAAATGCTTCATTTTGTTAAGAAATATAAATCAGGATGTATTGTCTTGTATTGTAAACGAAAGCCGCCGTTCACCGCATCCATGAGCGACCATCGTTCCTTTGAACGGGAGTCAACGTGCAAAAGTTGTCTTCACCGAAACCGAGACAAAAACGTCCGTGGAATAACCGTGAGTGGACTTACTTCAAGGCTCAGGGCGGAATTTGGAAGTTTGCGGTCATTTTTGGGGTCGTTTTATTGTCTTTACGGGTCTTGCTTGCGTTTCTTCGGTTCGGACGGCCAACTCGTTTAAAAATTCGCTCTTTCAAAATAAGATCACATCACTTCCGCTTTCGCTGCTTCGCTCGGAGGACGGCAGTTTCTATTCTTTCGCTTGCGCCATCTGTCGAGTAAGTGCAGTGCGTTGCTGTCGAATATATCTATTTCTAATATTTGAGAAGTAATCTTCTCTTTATCCGGCCGCCGCCAACCAATGTTTACGCGGCATTTTGTCGTTCGCGTTCGACGTGATTTATTGTGAAATGAAAAAAGAGGAAATACATTTCAGGTTCCTTTCTGAGGAAAATAAACCATAACAAAGAGTTAGACACCTTATAATACGTAATTTGGCGATGTGTGGAGTACAAAAAACACCCATCTTTTCGAACGTTTGAATGATAAATAATTTATCTGGAACTATATGACCAGAAAATGACTACTTGTCGCGTCGTAGTGAAAGCTCTGCAACTTCACCACGAGATGACGCCGTTACGAATCAAAATTCAAGGAAAAAGAAGAGTCCTTTTTTTTATGGAAAGGGCAAACCCGAAAGCAACGTCGACGCTCGTTTGCGAGGCGCTTCAGCACGTAGAGACATCTTCTCCACGCTGAATCTTTGCCATTTTTGGCCGCCATTTCCGGAATCGATTCGTTCGAATCTCAGCACCGCCGCCGCCATTTCCGGCGGTGCGCACTAAATTAACGTAAAGTACGTACGCAAGACGTCGTGCGCATGGTTGCGTCACCGTGAGCGTAGCCTACGTCGAAGAATGCGAAATTCACAGCAACGAAAGCATCGGCAACTGTATTTCTCAACTTTTGACATCGAAAACAAGGAATACTGACGTACCCATTGCCACATTATTGGGAGGTGTTTCTATTTTGAGTCCTAAAAAGTATATTTCATATTATTGTAAGCCACTCCCAACATAATGCACCGTATTCAACAAAGTTACTGTACTGGAACAAAAAAAAAAAAAATCTGAAATTGAAGATGTTGTAACAAGAAGAAAATAAGAAGAGAAGAAAGACCTTGATTTGTCTCACAATGGAGAAATTCGCAATTTACAGCAGTAAAAAAATATGAAAAGTAGAAGAGAAAAAAAAAAAGTATTTGCGTGCACAAAAAGAACAATTTGAAGAACAATTTAAAAAATGGACTGTACAAAAGTGGCCGTGCTATTTAAAATGGGTGAGTGGGGGGGTGAGTCCAGCCAGGTTTTCACGTGTTTATTCATCAACAGCCTGACAGCAGCCGGCAAGAACTGAACGCAACTGTTTTGGACTGTGCAGATCATCTTTTGAAGTGAGCGACTGATGAATTGGCACGCGTTGAGCGTCAAGGAAGCGGACGAGCGCCCGACGTCGACCCGAAAC